ACAATTACTTTGGTCTCTGCAAAGAGAATGTGATGATCTTCAACCAAGGCGTGTTACCCTGTATCTCCAACGAGGGAGAGATTCTCCTCGAGAGTGCTTCAAAGGTGTGTCATCGTTATGCCTTTTCCTATAAGCATGAGCTTACCCAGGCTACTATAGGTTGCGGTTGCCCCTGATGGAAACGGAGGTATCTACCAAGCTCTTGTCAACTCTGGCGTCCGGGATGACATGAAGAAGCGCGGAATTGAACATATCCACGCCTACTGTGTAGACAACTGCCTTGTCAAGGTCGCCGATCCAACTTTCATCGGTTTTGCTGCATCCAAAAAAGTTGACATTGCCACCAAAGTTGTGCGGAAGCGCAATGCTACTGAGTCTGTCGGCCTGATTGTCCTCAGCAATGGCAAGCCAGGCGTTGTAGAATACTCTGAGATTGACGAAGCCACGGCAAATGCCATTGATCCCAAACAGCCCGGTGTCCTCAAGTTCAGGGCCGCCAACATCGTTAACCACTATTACTCCTTTAGCTTCTTCGAGTCGATTGAGAAATGGTCCTCCGATCTACCACACCACATCGCCCGCAAAAAGATACCTTTCTACGATACCAAGACAGGTGCTACCGTTAAGCCTGAGTCTCCCAACGGAATAAAGCTTGAACAATTCGTCTTTGATGTCTTTCCCTTCCTCTCGCTTGAGAAGTTCGCTGCCATTGAGGTCAAGAGAGAAGAAGAGTTCTCCCCTCTCAAGAATGCCAGAGGCAGCAAGGACGATAACCCAGACACCAGTAAGAAGGACATCATGCAGCAGGGCCTACGCTGGATCAAGGCTGCTGGAGCTGTCGTCAGCGAAGAGCACACCAGCCTCGGTATCGAAGTGTCTCCTTCTATCAGCTACGTATGTTGTTCACCCCATTTTGTACATCCATCCTTCAATATCCTCCTGCATCAGCTAACTTCTGGCTTATTTAGGGCGGTGAGGGCCTGGCATTCCTCAAAGGCCGTACCATCAGTACCCCTGCACTAATTGAGACAGAATGCGATAAGGCATAGTTTGCTTGATCTACGGCTAGAGTAATACTTGCCCTGACTGAAGCCCATTTTCCATTGATTGAGCGTCTAATATTCAAACACACAAAAAAAAATATAATTGTTTCCAGAGGAGTGCAAAAATAATCGTGGTACTGCAGATATACATCCGTTTATCTATGTTCTTAAAAATCCAAGCTTATTGTCTACCTCCTCAATATTAAGGTTACTCATTTACCCAACCGATGACTTCATGAAGGATCCATTCAGTGGAGTCACCAAGGATGATGACTAATAGATCACATGATTAATGCCCGGCTTTAGACAGTCTAACCATTAAAGGAAAAGCGTGGAGTTCCTCACGTTTTTTTTTTTTTTTTTTTTTTTTTTGCTTCTTTTCTCGCTTCCTCGCCTTCAGCTTGCTTGCTGGTTGAAACTGGAACGCAAACGCAAGTCGAGGACGAAGACGGGTACGCCAATTGTGGTTGGAGGCTTGAAGCAGCTGACGAAGAAGAGCTGAGGATTGTGTGTTAGGAATTCTGTGAAGGTCCAAGAAGTGAAGAGCTGTGAGCAATCCTTGACGACTTTTCGTCTCGAAGTTCCTTAGTTGTTGCTTTTTAGTCCAAGCTTGGGGGGACGTCACTTTTGGCGACTCTTGCGGGACATTATGTTTGCTTGATGGAACGATGATAGACCTCATGGGCCTGACTGTTGATATGAATTACCCCTAGATTTTTCCTCAGGTCTATTTGGTCCGTGGCTACGAGACTTTCAGGAGGAGGCCTGTTATCATTATTTGTTGGAAAGTGAGTGCACTTCCGGGTTTTGAAGATAATATATTCACGAGCCGAACGTTCCTCCACTCCCAAAACGAACATTGCACTACATATCATCCCTACCTCTAGCTACCGATATACTTATATACTCTCGCCGCAATCCATTTACTTGCTTGTTCGATAACTTGAGCCTTGCATTCCCGCATCTCTAACGGTTGTTTTCTAGGATGCTATTGTCTCGACGTGCGTGCTACAAATGTGGCAATATTGGTCACTACGCTGGTTCGTTTTCCGATTAGATTGCACTGTTTCTACTCCTTCGCAAGGACACAGCCATTAACTGGTAATCGGTAGAGGTCTGCTCCTCTTCTGAGCGTCTCTGCTACAATTGTAAGTTTATGTTTATCCGATACAGTGTATACTTATTATACCTGATCCAGATGGCTAATATGCTGGATGTCCTTTCACCCTTGTAGGCAAGCAACCCGGTTGGTTCTGAACACGGCGCGCCACCTTCGGCCTTTCACTTAATCTGACAGCATGTTTCTAGGACACGAGTCCAATGGTTGCCCGCGACCCCGAACGACAGAAAGTAAGCACAGCCATTCCAACCTTACTCGACCTGATATACCAGTGAAAATAGACAAAACAAAATATAAAAGGCCAGCTTCTAACGTGCTGCAGCGAAACAATGTTATCATTGCCAGGGTCTAGGTCATGTCCAGGCCGACTGTCCTACCCTTCGTTTGAATGGCGGCGCCTCTAATGCCCGCTGCTATAGCTGCAATCTGCCCGGACATTTAGCTGTAAGTTACAAGCTCAAAAACTGGTCTGCGCGTTGTTATTCTAAACATTGTTCATAGAGAAACTGCCCGTCCGGCGGCATACAGCAGCAGAACCCTCAAGCTGTAAGGAATGCAGGTTCAGCCCGCGGAGGGTTCAATGCTGGCTTCCGTGGAGGGCCCGCGGGGTATCCCAGGGCTGCAACATGCTACAAATGCGGTGGCCCGAACCATTTTGCACGAGATTGTCAGGCCCAGGCTATGAAGTGCTATGCATGTGGAAAGCTGGTGCGTCGTATATGCTCTCTAGTTATATATCCATCTTTTACAAGAGCTAACCAAGTAATCTTCCAGGGTCATATCTCCCGCGACTGCACTGCACCTAACGGCGGGCCTCTAAGTTCCGTGGGGAAAGTCTGCTACAAATGCTCTCAAGCAGGTCACATTTCCCGCGATTGTCCTACCAACAACGCAGAGATAAAGGTGCCACCTACTGTTACTACTGAACCCACATCAACAACACTTATTCCAGATGTGGAGGTACCCGTGGAAGCTCCAGCTGTCACAACTGGGGCCGTTAATTCCACTACTACAGCCTAAAATGGGCTGCAGTGGTAACTAGACAAAAAGGAGCAAGGGTTGAGTTCGCTCGGGAAGAATCTATTCTATCCTTAAGCTCCATTATTATTTTTCACGTTTGGTTATATGACAACCTCTATAATCGTTCTATGTCCCGCCTTTGGATCTTCCAGCCGCCCTCTTTTATGCCCCTTTCCAAATACGTTGAGCTTTACCTTTTCCTCCCTTCCGATTATTGTTCCCATTTTACTTTCCCCTATCCTTATTCCACTCGTTTCCTTTCTTATCATCTATACGACCAAACAAAAGTTTCACGACGCCCTGGATTCTATGACTGGATTTACCCTCATATTCACAGGAAGCGAAGCACGAAACACACACACATACACACTTAATGAATGGCGTCATATTTGTTTGTCAAGGTATTTGCGGTTTCATGTTACGTGCTGTTAGGTAGGAAGCAGGATATGGACCCGAACCAGGAACTCATTCCTTTCTGGTCGAATAATAGTGGAAACGGAGGCGAGCAACCAATACGGAGCGGCTAGCAAGCAAAGGCGGCACACTGGCTTCAAGGATGTTCTGGGAATTTTCCTGGCGGCTGAACTTGACTTCTTCACAATTTTCGACAACAAAAAAAACAATGGTTTTACCTGGCGCGGCAAGCTCATTCACTGTTCGTTTCCATTTCATATGCATAGGTTTTGGTTTCGTCTCATTTACTTATTACTATGGTCTGCGCTTGTGACATATTCCCGGCCTGAATTGGAAATTTTTTTTTTTAGCTTATTCTTCTATGCCTACCTACTATGTGCCATGTTCTACTCAAACTCCATGTCGTATATGTATTATTACTATCGTCGAAGGGGCTAACCAGGTCGTCTACGCCGTTACGAATGGATTTCATTTCATTTAAAGCCCCCAGTATCTTCAGTTTCCGTCAGCCTTCGTGGTGCTACAGCACCTTGTCCGGGTGTTTCCATGGGATGTCGTCTGGATGTCCTGATTTGGGATGGCGGTGACCGCGTCCCTTTCACCCCTCACTAGACGATCTTCTCAGGTCGAGCACCTGCGTTCCTGTTCTTTCTACGCGACATCTATCAAGTACATCAAGTTGCATCAAGCTATACTCAGGTGATAAACGCGTATTACTCCGGATCGTTAGAAGTACAAGAGCAAGATGCCAGCATCAACAGCCAGTGACAACGGAGACGAGGACGTAAGGGGCTCGTTCTTGCGTGCTAACAACGCGGTCCCTAACAAGCTACGTATATAGGACTTCATCGTTGATATCGACGGTATCCAAGCCCATGGTATTACGCCCTGTCCAAAAGTCAAGAGGAAAACAAAACTGACGCGGAAAAAGGCGTGGGAGCGGCTGATATCACAAAGCTGAAGGTCAACGGTTTCTACACTGTTGCGGTAGACTGCCCCCCTTGACGCTCCGAGTATCAACTGTTGAAACTAACTTATAACAATATGCAGTCTGTTCATGGAGCCACACGCAAGACGCTGCTGAAAATCAAGGGTTTCAGCGAAGTGAAAGTTGAGAAGATCAAGGAAGCCATCCAAAAGTGTCAGGTATGAAAAGTGGCCTCTTTAAGTATGCTGTCTTATGATAGGTTCTAAATGGCAGCACGGCAGCCCTCTGCCTCTGGATTCATTACTGCCATGGAGCTTGGGCACCAGCGAAAGAGGGTCGTTAAGATCTCAACAGGCAGCAAACAGTTTGACACCATACTAGGAGGGTATCAGCCATTCTTCTCTTATGAAATATAGAAGAAGCCAAAAAAGAAAAAAAAGCCCGAAACTGACTGTTCAGTAGGGGTTTTCAAAGCATGAGCATCAGCGAGGTATACGGAGAGTTCCGATGTGGTAAAACGCAGCTTTCGCACACGATGTCCGTGATCGCACAGCTGCCCAAGGATATGGGTGGTGCAGAAGGCAAGGCAGCCTACATTGATACAGAAGGCACTTTTCGACCCGAACGAATTGCCCAGATTGCGGAGCGGTTTGGCGTTGACCCGGACTCAACACTGGAAAACATATCATATGCTCGAGCGCTGAACAGTGAGCACCAGCTAGAGCTGCTTAACACGCTAGCCAAGGAGTTTGCTAGCGGCGAGTATCGCCTGCTTATCATTGATAGTATCATGAACTGTTTTCGGGTAGACTACTGTGGGCGAGGAGAGCTTGCAGACCGCCAGCAGAAACTGAACCAGTTCCTGATGAAGCTGGCTCATATGGCAGAGGGTATGTAGGGCCGAAGCCGAGGATGAAAATGAAGATTGGTGAAAGACAGCTAACCTCAAGCATAAGAGTTCAATGTCTGTGTCTTGATGGTGAGAGAAAGAGTAGACCCGTCATGAAGGCTAGCTATAGATTAGCGCGCAGAGCTAACCCGTGCTATTACTATAGACGAACCAAGTACAGAGTGACCCAGGCGCAAGTGCTTTGTTTGCTGGTGCCGACGGGAGGAAGCCTGTCGGTGGCCACATTCTGGCGCACGCGTCAACGACCCGAGTACTGCTGCGCAAAGGCCGTGGAGACGAGCGAGTCGCAAAGATCCAGGATTCCCCAGGTGAGTAGTCCAATTTAATAGTTAGTTAATTGAAAGAAAGCCTGAGTGAGTATCTGAGGGGTAACTATATATACTAATAGCAAGGCAGACTGCCCTGAGCGTGAGGCGACATACGTGATCACCAACGGCGGCATCAACGACCCTGAGAAGGTGTAAATTATGTGAGCTGTGTAGCAACGGTGTTGAAGTTGATGTTATTGATATTACTTTGCTGGTCAAGCGAATGGATGGAGATGGAAAGTCGAGTCGGCGATCCACCGCGTGAAACTGCCAATCAAAATCGTCGATTAAGTTATTTAAATTAGTTAACTAGTTAGTTATCGATATAAAAAAAAAAAGAAAACGCTGCTTTGCAGAAAAAAAAAACCCTGCCAGGTACTCCGTACCAACGATGAATACCATCACCACCACATCACTACTCAATCAACGAAGAAAGTAAAAGCAAGATGGTGACGAGCGTGGGAGGATACAGTGTGCTGCCAGTACTGTTACCCAACAGCAACAGTAAGGGAGAAAGCGAGACCACACACTACCTGTACATCCAAGCGCATGCACCACGACTGCCGGACGCCGACTCCGGACGGTCACTGTTCGTGGTGAATGTGCCAGTGACGAGCACGGAGACGCACTTCCGACACCTCTTTGGCACGCAGCTCGGCAGCGGCCGGGTTGAGCGAGTCCAATTCCAGCATGATGAAGCCAGCCGGCGGGGCCTAGGGTCCCAGGAGAGCAGCACCAGCACCGAGGTGACCGCGAACAAAAAGAGGAAGAGAGGTGAGGAGGAGAGCGCGGAGGAGTACGCGAGCCGCCTTTCGACGATCAAGCTGCCTGGGGCCTGGGACCGACCATTGCGGCCGAGCGGCTCGCATGCAGTCGTGACCTTTGTCGACCGGCCGAGCATGGAAGCCAGCCTGAGGGCGATAAACAAGCGGAAGAAGTCAAGCAAGACGACGATAACGTGGGGACACAACTTGGAAGAAGAAACAGCGGAATATTATGACGACGACAATAATAACAATGGCAAGAGCAGCAAGAAAGGGTTGTGTCGTCTGGGCTCGGCGCGGTATAACAGACATGCGCAGCTTCGATACCCCAGCCGCAGCGAGCTGCTGAAGAGCGTGAACGAGTACATGAGCGTGCTGAGCAAGCTGGAAGAGGCGCGCGAACGGGAGGCCCGACGCCAGGGCAACGTGGTGGACGAAGACGGCTTTATCACCGTGACGCGGGGCCCGAAGAGGGCGGTGGACGCTGGACGGGAGGAGGAGATGCGCGAGCTTGTTGCCAGGCAGCGGGAGAAGAGCAAAGGGCTGGAGGACTTTTACCGGTTCCAGATGCGGGAGAAGCGCAAGGAGAGGCAGGGCGAGCTTCTGCGGCGCTTTGAGGAGGACAAGCGGCGCGTCGAGGAGATGAAGAGGCGACGGGGGAGAGTAGTAGTAAGTATTCGCCCGTATACGTCCATGTCAATCAATGGCTATGTCCAATGCTTGAGTCGCTGTGTCCATCTGCTAACTGCTGCCAGCCCGAGGAGTGATGGTAAGTCCTGAGCTCTATAGGTTATAATAACTAGTGATCCCCGCCGGTCTACTGCTTCTTTGGCATGATGAGCATGCTGGGGGCCAGAGGAGCACCTCGGTGCCATGTCTTCACGCCCAGCCATTCAACCTATCTTCTCGTCTTCTCTGATGCCTTTTTGTCTTCATCTTCGTCTTCGTCTTCGTCTTCGTCTTCGTCTTCATCTTCCTCACCTTCTTCGTCTTCCATCGCTAACCCACTGCCTCGGTAGTCTTAGTCATCATTACATCACCCGCTCCCCCTGCTCTTCTTGCTTTTGTCTCTACACCGACCGGACTATATATCTTTCTACATCTTCTTGACACTGCAGCCTGCTCTCCATCTACCAGCTACTACCATGTCTGTATAAAAGGGAAAAGAGAGAAAGGAAAAGAGAGAGAGAGAGAGAGAGAGAGAGTAAAAGAGCCTGGGAATGGTCGACCTGCCGCAGCAGCGCCAGCACCCCGTCCGCCCCGGCTCGAGCAAGGAGGCCAACCTGCTTGCCTGGGTCGAGGCCGCGGTCTTGCGCATCAACCGGCGCCATGCAAAGAAGTTCTCTGGGATGCAGACCAACCCAGTCAGGGAACAAGAGATAGCAGCAGACGACAATGACAACGATAGTGAGAATGTGCCGGGCTACGAGTCCTTTGGCGAAGTGGCGGCCGACATCGAGCGCGTCCTCGACGTCCTCTGGGTCAGCAACACCCGTAAGCATCCCTATAATAAAACATAGTTACACATCTATTTCTTATCTATATATATATGTGTGTGTGTGTGTGTGTATATGTATACATTTATATATGTGTATACATGAGACCAGGTCTAACAGGCTAGAAGCAAGCATCCAAGTGCCGTACATGATCACGCTGGCAGGCCTGGTCGACAGCTACCTGCGCGACTTCAGCTGGCAGGCCCGGTGCACCTTTGCGCTGCTGGACAAGCTGGACGCGATGCTGGCAGCTCTCCTGGCCGCCGACGAGCGCGAGGGCGAGGGCGGGCGGAAGCGGGTGAGCCTGACGGAGCGTGTTAGGGTCAAGAGCCTGGCCGAGGGGACGCGGGTGACCGTCTTTGACGTCAGAGACGAGGCAGCAGAAGCCGACGAGGACGACGACGACGATGGCGATGATGCAGAGGACTTTGGCGACGAGGAGCAGGCAGTCGGCCGCTGGGCGATGGCGGCTGCGCGAGTCTACGAGAGGTCGCTGTCTCGTCTGTAGCCTGCCCGGCTGCTGGACCTACAGCAACTGGCAACTGGGTAACTGGGTGTAGATAGAAGTTGCGGGAATAGATAGTTAGCCTTGACTGGTCCGGTCGATGTCTGGTACGGCCATCGTCATCGTCCATCATGGGCAGCGTCTTACTTACTGACCTGCTACTCCTAGTTAGCCGAAGAACAAAGTCTGGTTCTCCCTCCTATTACTCTTTTTTTTTTTTTTTTTTTCTTCTTCCTTTTAGTCTCGCACTCGCTTCTTGCTTTCTTCTTCTTCTCTTCTTCTTCTTCTTCTTTTCACCTTTTCGCCCTTCTTCTTGTCATCCATCGCCTGCAACTTCTTCTGCATCTCCCGCCGTCGTGCTTCTTCTTCTTCCTTACGTCGCCGTCTGGAGTTGGTTCGCTTCGTCGCTTCTTCTCTTTTTCTCTTCTTTCTTCCCTTTCTTCCATCTTCTTCTTCTTCGTCTTCTTCTTCTTCTTCCTCTTCTTCCTCTTCTTCCTCTCTTGCTTGCTTCGGTGAGTCTGTCTGCTTGATAGTCCCAGAGTCGCCAACTAGTTTGCTGCGCTGCTGCTTACTAGCCCGCCGTCGCCTCGTCCGTCCCTTGCGCCTTTCCCCCTCCCCCTCCATCCCTCTCCCGCTCCCTCTCCCTCTCCCTCTCCGTCTCTGCCTCTTGTCTCTTGTCTCTTGTCTCTTGTCTCTTGTCTCTTGTCTCTGTCTCCATCACTCTCACTGCACTCTCTCTTGCACTCTCTCCTGCTATCACTCCCTCCCTCTCTCTCTCTCGCTTCCTGTCTCGCTTTTCCGTCTTTGCCGTCGCCTGCATCTTCTCTTGCCCCTTTGCCTGCTTCGTCCCCCTCCTCGCTGCTCACTCCTTGTCGCGCTCCTCCTCGGCGCCTGCTGACCGTCCAGATCGTGCGTTCGTCCTGCCTTACGACCGATACGAAGTCTCTGCTAGCTGTCGTCGCGCGCCCGTCAAAAAAAAAAAGGACATCTCTTTTTTTTTTTTTTTTTTTTTCCTCCTCGCTCGTCGCCCTTTTTGCGCTCCAGGTTCGCCTCCCTCCCACCACCACCACCACCACCACCAACCATCACCACCAACATCGCCATCTCCATCACCATCACCACTCTTCTCCTCCTCCTCGTCCTCCTCGTCCTCCTCCCCTCCTACTACTACTACTACTACTCCTACATCTTATCCTCCTTCTGATCGACCAGCGACTCTACATCCGACCACCTGCCTGCTAACACTCGACTCTCCCATCGACAGGATGTCCTTCCAAACCTTCGACTCCTTTCAGAACCAGCATCCGGCTCCTGACGCCGGTGCCAACGCCGCCGCCGCGCCCGCTGCAGACACTGCCATGGCCGGTGCCGACAACGCTGCCCAGTTCCAGCCAGGCGCCCAGCAGGATCCCTCCGGCTCGCCAGGCAACCAGCAGCAGGACGGCAAGACCACCCTTTGGTATCGCTCTCTTGACTCTTCTTCTTCTTCTTCTTCTTTTTTTTATTCTTTAACTGTGCATGGACTGACTCCTTTTCTAGGATGGGCGAGTTGGAAGGATGGATTGATGAAAATTTCATTCGCAACATCTGGTACCAGATGGGCGAACAGGTCAATGTCAAGATGATTCGCGACAAGTTCTCTGGGTAAGGCTCTCCCTCTATATCTATATATCTATATATATATATATATATATATAGTATTTACATTTATACTGACTTCTGTAGGGCTAATGCCGGATACTGCTTCGTTGATTTCGCTTCGCCCGCCGCCGCCGCCAAGGCACTGGCAGTCAACGGCACTCCCATGCCAAACACCCAGCGCCCGTTCAAGCTCAACTGGGCCTCCGGTGGCGGCCTCGCTGATCGCAGGTTCGTCTCTTCTTCATTCACCTTACCCTGTATAAAAAAATAGAAAAAAAGAAAAAAATGTGTTGCAGACGTACTAAGAAATATCTATTTACAGCCGCGAGGAACGCGGACCTGAATTCTCCATCTTCGTCGGCGACCTGGGCCCCGAGGTCAACGAGTACGTGCTCGTGTCTCTCTTCCAGTCGCGCTTCCCATCTTGCAAGTCTGCCAAGATCATGACCGATCCCATCACCGGCCTCTCCCGCGGCTACGGCTTTGTCCGCTTCTCCGACGAGACCGACCAGCAGCGCGCGCTCTCTGAAATGCAGGGCGTCTACTGCGGCAACCGTCCCATGCGCATCTCGACCGCTACCCCAAAGAACAAGGGTCCCGCCGGCCCTGGTGGCCCTGCTCACATGGGCGTCCCCGGAGGCCCTCCTGGAGGCATGTATCCTCCCTCCATGGGCGGTGCTGGTGGTCCTCCTGGACCCGGTGGCCCCCAGATGGGCTACTACGGCGCCGCGCCCCAGCCCATGAACCAGTTCACCGACCCAAACAACACTACTGTCTTCGTTGGTGGCTTGTCCGGCTACGTCACCGAGGACGAACTGCGCTCCTTCTTCCAGGGCTTCGGTGAAATCACCTACGTCAAGATCCCTCCAGGCAAGGGATGCGGGTTTGTCCAGTTCGTCCAGCGCCACGCTGCCGAGATGGCCATCAACCAGATGCAGGGCTACCCCATCGGCAACTCGCGCGTCCGTCTCAGCTGGGGCCGCTCCCAGAACAACTCTGGTCCTGCCGGCACTCCATACAGACCCGCGCCTCCACCACCACTCTACCCGGCCATGGGTATGCCCCCCGCTCACCAGTACGGTGCCGGTTTCGCCCCCATGAAGGTATGACTCTCCTCTTTCTTTCTCTCTCTCTCTCTCTCTCTCTCTCTCTATATATATATATATATATATATATATCAGGTTTCTTTCCATTTCCTTCTCCCGCCAATTTTCTACATCTGTTTTCTCCTTCTTACTTTTTTCTTAGGCCGATGAGAACTAACCTGCTCATCCAGTGAAGATAATCTCGCCATAGGAGATCACACCCGAGTCCTCCGAGGCTCCCGACCTTGAACTGTTTATTTTAGCTCGCACTTGTCTGTCTTGTTACTTGCTTGCTTTTTTTTTTCTATCTACGAAACGGAAAAAAACACAACACGGTATAACGGCTTTCCCACGTCAACAATTGAACCCACGTCTATTGCGTCTCTAACGTCTGCGTTTGCTCTTGAAGGGCGGTTCTTCATGTTCTTCCTTCCCCTCGTTCTGTTGCGCTGTGTGTTGTCTTGCGTTGCCCTCTCCCTTTTTTTTCTTCTTTAATCCCTCCTCCCCTTCCCCTCCCTTCGACTTATTACTGTTTGGGCATCTAATGATCCGCCCATGCTCACCCTTTCGCTTTGACTCCTTTTTTTCCTTGCTGTCTCTGTATTCCCATTTCCACGTTCCCCAGTCCCAGTCTCAGTCCCTCGCACAGCTAATTTACTATGTCATGTCCAGTTACCCCCTTTTTTGCCCACTTTTTTTCTTTTTCTTTATATTCATATCCAGGTTCCCGCATCCCATTCTGCTGCTGATGTCACTGATAATCACTTGGTCTTTACTTCTCACTCAGACTGGAGCATACGGTATCTTCTTCTACTTTCCTTTTCTTTTCAATCTTGAACTCTCTTTTCTTTCTTTTCCTTTTCTTTTCTATCCACGTATGAGAAGCATGGAGTTGACATGCTAATGTTCCCGCTTTAACGCCGCAACACGTCCCCTATGCCATCGCCTTCGGTCCTTTTCTTTCTTTCTTTTTTATTTACTTACTCTATGCCCTGCCTGACTTGTCACTTCTGCCTGATACTCGCTTGCTTACGCTCACGCTTACTTACGTACTTGTATGGGTTGGCCGTCTGCTGAAAAGTTCCCTGCGTCGCACGCTTTTATCATATCATATCTTATTTTATTTTCTTCTTCTTTATTACTTCTTTTCTCTTCTTCTTCTTTTTTCTTCTTCTTCTTCTTCTTCTTCTCTTCGACCATTTTTATCCGCTTTTCTTCGTCTTCACCTGGAACTAACGACATGGCTTTTTGCTGAAGTGATGTGATTTTGGCTCGAGAAATCAGCCAAACGTGTAATAATCCCATCCCCTCCCTCCGGTTTTGACATACACTTGCCTACCCACCCGTCTCCCCTTCTAGATCCATCACTTCACTGCTTCCATTCCCAGGTTTATTGACCAACATGTACAACATCATCATGTCATGCCCTGTCCTTTTCTTTTCTTTTCTTTTTTCTTCCCCTTTACTCTCCTTTGACTTCTTCTCTGCCATCTTGGACAGATAATTGTACCTGATACCGATTGATGATGATGCTCGACCCCGACTCCCACCCAAACCTTGCGCGCGTGTTGCATTAACTGACTATGCCCATGTACTCGTACTTCCTTTCGTTCTTCCCGTTATTGCTCTCCCGTTTCCACCCCTCCCCCCTTTCTCTCTCTCCTTTGTGCCTTTACCTTCCTTTTCTTTTTTTTTTTTTTTTCAAAAACCATTCTACGCCCTGCCCATGCCCATATATGCCCCGTTCTCACGCAGCAAACGATCCCACGAGCAAAAGATACGAGACGAGAAAGATGAAATCTGCGTGTTTTGCTTTGTCTGTCTGTCTAGTTATTCTAATTGCCTGCCTGCTTGTATCTTCGTTCTTTGTTCGCTCTGCTTTGCCATAGTCATTCCATTCGTCCTTTCTTGATATCGCTCTTCTCTTCTCTTCTCTTCTCTTCTCTTCTCCTCTTCCGCATTGTACCTTGTACTGTACTGTAGTTCTAGCCGTGCGTCGTGCCGTCGTGTGCCGTGTACCTTTGTACTTGTACGTCTTCTCCTTTTGCCGTTTCGCTGCATTCTATCTCGTCTTGTTTAGTCGGTGTTCTTGGAGAATATTGCCAGCTGGACGCGGATGGGATATACAGTAAGTAGGATAGCTGCGGCTGCTTATAGACGGTAGGACAGATAGATAACTGTCCCCCGAGCACATTTATTAATTCGCATTTGACTCCATGCCACCGTGCTGCTGATATACCATCCATTATCTACATCGGCGGTGGGCTGACGTCAATATAGAGTCGTGCGTGCCTGGACGGATGCACGCCCTAAGCTCTTCTAGAACATGCATGCCATACATTCCATGCAGGCTGCCTTCCTTACTCGCATATATTAACTCATACTTGACTTTCAGCCCCAGCTCCTCGTCGACGGCCACCTAACTGGTCAGCATCAAAATCCCTCACCGACACCTGACGCTTGTCTCACCCTCGCTCAGCCGCCGCCGCCGCCGCTCGCTAAGTTGGTTGGCTCGTTGGTTAACTCATCCAACAAAACACAAAAAAGAAGAAGACGCCGCATAAAGAAAGGACAAAAAAATCATGCCCACACACGGATTCGAACCGGGGATCTCATCATCGCGACTCTCCTGAGCTAGGGAGTGAACTACTAGTGATGCGCTTTACCAACTAAGCCATGCGGGCTGATTGTGGGATTCCGTTTTAAGTTGTTGCTTGGTAGGGATAAAAGTGAGCTTTTGGCGTGTTTAAACTCAGGGCATGGCGTATTTTATTTAAGCTCAGGCCCTGATTATTGGTTTATTAAGCGGTATTTTTTTTTACTGGGTTACGCGGGGCATACTGCTTGCCTGTTTGAGATAAGTTGGTATTATTAGTTAAGCCGCTCGCGAAAACGCGCGCACAAGACGCGAAAAAAAAAAAAAATAAAAATAAAAATAAAAATAAAAATAAAAATAAAAATAAAAGGAACGAAAAAAGGGGGAAGCAAAAACGAGTTGAGTTCATCAAGGGCAAATATAAAAAAGAAAAAGGCAAATGCCCACACACGGATTCGAACCGGGGATCTCATCATTACTAGTGATGCGCTTTACCAACTAAGCCATGCGGGCAGATGTTAGGGTATGCGGCCACTTGCTGCTTGTTGAAGCAAGGATGCTGTCATTCATCGCACCTGGCGAGTTGTGCTCAGATATCAAGTATATAGCTTGCTGGAATTCAGTTATCTAGTCACCATACTGAATACTGTGCCTAGATAGTAGATAACTATGTATCTGCGCGACTGGAGTGAGTGATATTCCAGGTGTTATTGTTCAACGCCCCCAGAACCGTCTTGATAATCACCATTAGATGTCAATAAACAATCGCCATAATGCTCTTGCTAATTGGAGAATTACCCTTTGAGAAGATTTACAAGGATACTTTCGAATGACTATAGAGATCTTTTATAAATGGAACCAAAACCACATATTTGGTAGATAGCTCACTTGATATATGAATCAGACTAGAGGTCGAAATCGAGCGTGGTGTTTTCAAATTTGATTAGACCTATGTATGTCCAGACATCTTAGCTCCAAAGATACTAAAAGTCACTTTCCATCTTGGATAATTCCTTCCTTGGGGTTTTGATATCCTGCGAATGGGAAGGACAACAAAAGCCTCACCGCACCTTCTACGCTGCCCGGCAGAAAACACAACATGGCCTTAGCGATGGCAGAGACGACGTCTTCTCCTCGTCTTCACCACCGGCATCAGCATCAACATCTTCTTCCTTTTTCACTGCCGTCCTCTATCGTTACGGGAAGCTCGCCTGTTTAATGAATGAATGCATGAATGACCCTGGTCGTTGTTTGTCACCTCATCCTGACTCTCCACCTACCCAGTGCTGTGTCTTGCTCTTTTCTCTTCTACTTCTTCCTTATATATAAATATCCGCAGCTAGTTCACCATGAGATTCGAGAACTGGGACGTTTTGCTGTTCCCTGAGGGGTCAAAAGTGCCTCTGCAGGAGTTCAAGACCAATTGCTTCGTCACCAGGGATCACGGTAGGTCAAAAGTATCTGCTATTGACTCGCACACAAGCAGCCTGCTAATCACCACGGATGAACTGGTTCTAGAATCACCGTATCTCCAAGCCCAAGCTGTGCTGAATCCCGGTCCATACTATAACCAGAGTGGTGTTCAGGGGAATCCGGGACAGCTGCCTGTACTGACCTGTTTTCTACCAAGTTTGCCCCGAGATACTCCCTTTAGGGTATCTGTTCATAGCTGGAATAGGCCTCGTCCAACTCGGGTTATGGAAGGCCTGATGCAGCCGGAAGATTCAGTGATGTTCGAAGTCAGAATATTCATTGATGGTATCTGTGCTTCGTACGTGGCACCTGAATGGCCTCCGCTAGTCCTATCTGCCCTCACTTTAATACTAACCGTCGATGGAATAGGGCAAGTCTGTTCAACCAGCAAACCCTCTGGCCTCATGTCATTGGTAAGTTCAGCTTTTGATAGTGGCACCGGATTCTAATCGGAAAAGTGTCTAATGTCAGGGTATACGTAGATCTGAGTTCTCGTGAGTGTGTCCCAGGTGAGCTGTGTCTAGTATGTATTAACTCTCGCAGAACTCGACAGAAATGGAAACCAAGATAGTCTGCGGTTTCCAATGTTCCATGAAGAGTTGCTTCATCAAGCCCACTGGGATGCTGGCGACATGTACGGTCGAATTCGTGTTGTCATATCAGAAGGCTTCACTCGGCCGCTTCGTAACCCGCCCTTTGAGAGAGTGAGAGATCTCATCGCTTTTTCTTACCAGCATGCTCCCCTCGGTAAGCTGAGAAACAAGAAAAAAAAAAAAAAAGTGGAAAATGGGAATGAAAAAAAGTCAGATGTCTAACGTAAGTACGGTCTCATAGGTGTACTGGAGTCATCTGGCATTGCCTGGCCAAATCCAGGGATGTGGCAGCAACTGGTACCAGGCTCTCGACATTTTGTCAAACACTCTCTTGGACCTCTTTACAGTGTTGAGAAGGATGAGGATGCCCATTCACACTCCCCAACGCGCCATGATATCCGGCAGTTCAACAACCAAGGTGTTCAGATTGGGGCTGGTTTCTCTACCCTCCCCTATCGAACGCAAGCTAATCCCGTTCCACCACAGTTTAGTAACAACCCATGGTTAGACCGAGATGGACCATGGATTGCACCACCACCTCAAGTTTCAGATCCCTTCGTCGACCCTTCAAAGAACCCGTGGCCACCATGGCCTATCAAGCGCCGTCATTCAACACTGGATGACATCTCGATGCCAGACTATATTGCATCTAGTTCCTCGAGCAGTCGTGTGATTTCCAATACTGCTGGCCTGAATTTTTCACGTAACAGAGAACCGTCCCAGATGGCTCCTATGGACGACGAGCAGTATAATCAGCTAATCAAAGCCATGAGTCCAAGTAAGGCAACAGGAGGCACCAGCCCTCCAATGAACACCCCGGTAGCAGGGAAAACAACAACCAAAGCGCCTTCGGCAATAAAAGGCGCTCCAGATGGCACAGTTAACAAGAGCCAGCCCAGTGCTCTCAGGGAGCTTTCGCAACCTGGGGAAGATAGGAGAGTAAGGTCAGGATCCAGTCTTCGTTCTAGAAACTCGCTTAACGAAGTGCCACCTCAATCCCAGACTGGCCTCCTTAGCCCCAGTCCTAACATCCGAGGCCGAAAGGAAGGAAGCCTTAGCGTCTATGAAGACGATAAAGAAAACAGCAGTGGTGATGCCTCTCCAGCTCATAGCTCACGAAAGGCATCCCTGACTATCGAAGCCGCAGTAACTTCAGCGGAAAGCAAGAGAAAAAGATCTGTAAGCTCAACTCATTCGCGAGGAGCGGTCGAGGCCGTGTCTCCCTCTTCATCAAAGAAGATATCTCGTCGTAAACGAGATGAGCAGCTGCAGGCTGAGTTCGATGATTTCCTGTCGGCAGCAGCCAAAACAGATGCGCTCCTCTCTGAGGTTGAACTGGAATAGCAACATGCATGCCTGGCCAGACAGGGTGAACGAAGGGCTCATGGGTATCAGACAGCGCACTATGGCTTAATCACTTGCTACAAGAAACATTTTTGTACTCGCATCTTTATCCACAGTCCAACCAATGCAAGTATTTAGCTTATGTAAGCACAATTAACGACTCCCGTCTTTCGCTTGTTTCAACGTCAACCAAAGTGAAAAAGCACATTGAATGGACGGTTTTTCAAAGGTGAGGCCATTCTATCTAAGCCTACGGAGTAGTCGTCCTTGTATTGTATAATACAAGGTTAATCTTGAGTATTGGAGGAATAAATTAGATCATTCTCTGCGTTGGCCTATGGTTTTGATATCCTATTGCCCACGATGTCCAACGGTCACTTGATATACAGAGTGAAGACCGGAGAACACCATGATCATTGCTATTATGGAGCTCTTATTTTCTATGATTCACCTGGCTGCATTCACTATCCCATAATTTGGGAGTG